TTGTTTGATGATGAATATGTAATTTGAATTTATATATAGAAAAAAATATTGATATAGGTACCTATATTATATATACTAGATGAATTAATTTTCTGAATATACAGGTTGTCTCATAATTAGCGTGCAATACTTCACTAGCACATTTTACGGTCGAAAATAAGGCAAAAGTTTAAATCGAATAATGTTTCAAAAGCGTGCTACAACCCCCCAAAGGTTGATATAGCAGAATTAATTAATTCTGCAAGTCGACCAATCTTTTTATGTTTAATAACATACGATAATGATGATTTCAAAATTTCATCCAGAGACAGGCCAAACTGTAGGAGGTGGGGGGTGTGACTTTCTGTGTCCGCCAGTAGTCTGCTATATACGCTCTGTGTTAGCCTGATTAGTGCAATTCTGTATGTAGTCCATCCAGCCTCTCTCTCCAGAAAAAATGTGGATTGGAGGTTCAAGAAGGATTTCCATAGCTCCTGACGGTGTGACGCTGATGGCCCCAGTGATATAGCTGTCTCAACCAAAATTGGATGCACGTACAAGGATTTCAACATCTGCAATCCTAGACGTTGCGACGCAGATTGTTCATAATAATTAATTGAAAATCAAACTTGGGATCATTTGGAGCCCTCCTGGTCTTCTACTAAGTATACCAACCTATATAAACACCTTATTCCGTCAAAATCGGCTGGTCCTAGTCCCGACCGCAGATATAACGTTAGATTTGTTTATAACAATCAAGTTTTAATCAATAAACAAATAATGACGATCGTCCAAAGTCATGTGAAGTCGAAGTACAACTAATGAGAAGAAGAATGGGGCTTTACCGCATTTAAATTGGCCTCTCCTACCCCTCGAACAGCCGAAATACCTATACCTAGTTGATTTATAATGATTGTTGACACGATGTAGATTTTGATATAGATGCAATAATCCAGAGAACGCACTTTGTCCCATCAAAATCGAACCTTCTTTAACGAATTTCGAGGTTTGGCCCTAATTTTGTTCAACTTTCATGGACTATAACTCTTATAGTGATGTTCTTGCATCCTATAAAATGCGAAATGCGAATATCACATTTTCGGAACTGCAAAATTCACTCAAAGATATGAATGTTCCACAAGAGTAAGTAGTAAAGTGCCGATATAATCAATTGAAAATATTGATTGAATTTATTCGAATAAGTTGCTCCCAATCACGGTTTTGATCTCGGTTTCGATTCAATGGACCTCTGTGATGTGCCCTGTGAATATTGTCTCTATTTTCTGTTCATTTCCTTTCTAGCTAACACTCTGCAATGTAAATCTCGATAGGTGAACCTGCTGAACGAAAAGTAACCGACGGACTCTAGGTATCAATGACCACGTTTATACCGTATGGATAGTTGGTTTTGAGGTTAGGTTGTGGAACTCCACTTGAATTCGTAAATTAAGAATAAAACCTTTTAGTAGGATACGGAATTAGCTGAAATTGAATGAAATATTATTATGAGAACTCATGAAATAACTGCCACTTGCACTCAAGTCAAGTCAAGGCTATATATAAAAGTAAACCAAAATGTTTTTACCGTCTTGGTCATCATACTATTTTAGTCTGGCACGCAACACATTTCGGTACCAAACCAAGCTGGTAACTTTACCAAGTATACAGTATATACCAAACTGACCAGGAGTATTTAGTCAAAATATAATCATTAGTCAGCTAACCAAGACACGGTATAAGTAAACTTGGTCAATAAAGTATGAAGTAAAATAGTTATTGACCAAATTTATTTTCTTTATTTTCTTGGTTTATATTGAGAATTACTCCAACGTATTCTTTGTCCTCCTGCTTATAGATGTTGTATTTAGTATAACTTTATAACGATATCTTCATCTTCGAATGTTAGTAAAAGACAAGGTAAAAGTCTTGGTATAGAAGTCCATCATAAATGGAATGATATATAGGGTCATATTTAAAGAAGCAGCAGCAGGAAGAAGATGGGCATTTCATATTATGTGTGCTAAATATGTCCCTGTCTTGATGTTTCAAATTGAAAGTATAGTAGAGATGATTTCGTGTTTGGTTCATCAATTATGAGGTAGGTATAATTTTGTGTATATCGCTACTTGGAAGTTGGGAACCAATACCCCAGGAGTCGAAACTTGTGAGGGGTATGCTCGGGGGTATGCCACATCTAGGGCGCCGAGGGGTTGCCAGGATTACAACCAAGAATTACATAGGTACATTTTTTTAAAAAATTCTCAGCCGAGCCGGAGGCTGTCCAGCGAATTTGAACTCCTTTTAAACCGCTAGGAAACTATATATACAGGGTGTCCCGTGAAGACCACGTCAAACCTAGGAAGAATGTATAGATCAAAGGATAACCTACCTGCTTTGATAAAATTCCCATTATGAAAGTTTCACCGTTTTCGAGATATTCTTTTTTTTTTGTTGAAAATATTGAATTTTTGCCCCTTTCGATAGTTTTGTCTGTACGGTTGGTACAATTTCACACCTTTTTCGTTCATTTTTTCAGTATAAATATTGCTGAAGAATGATTTCAACGTATACATCAAAAACATTATCCGAACATTTTAGAGGGGAGCTGTGAGAAATATTTTTATTGAAAACTTTGGTATAGTGGATATTTTCAAAAAAAATCCTGATAAGGGTAAGACTTCCGTAATGGGAATTTCGTCATATGCAGGTGGGTTATACTTTGATCTACGTTCTCCCTACATTTGACGTGGTCTTTACGGGACACCCTGTGTACTATGATTTAATCCACAGATTTTGAATTGAGCATTAGCTTTTCACAGTATAGCTATCGCTATATTCAGATCATAGGTAACTATTCAGTACCACCATGACTAATGGTGTTGAATTCAGCATTTGCTCCAGTCCAGTGGCGTAGCTAACTGTCAGAGCGCTCCCCGCAGGGTTCTCCTTGCACCCTGACCCCCTAACCTATAATTTTACGATATAGTAAAAATACTCCAAGTCATTTCCACAACGTTTAATATCATCATCAGCCCATTGATAAATTATTGTGGAGAAGAAAACATTTTTTGGAATCACATGAAATTATTATGGAAATTTAAAACAGGGAATGTCTTTCGGCCTCCTGATGTGGCCATTCCACTGGCTTATCGGGGCACAGGGCCCCTGTTTAGAAAACCTGCTATAGCACAAAAAAACGTATTTTCTCTGTTTCAAATTTTCATAAAATAATTTTGTAACTTTATGTGATTCCAAAAAATTGTGTCTTCTCCACAATAATTTCTCAATCGGCTGATGATGGATACTCTATATATCCGAAACATGTCCTCTTTCCATTTATGATTTGGTGATATCAAACGTTGTGGGAGCGACTTGGAGTATTATTATTATAAACTACTTCACTCCACTTGAGACAACATGGACTTCTACAGTAGGCTATAATTATATTTTCAATTAAATATATAAACTGACAGATGATTTAAATAAGACGTACATGAGGTCGGTAGACTGCGCTTGCCAATATATGATGTTCGACGAAGAGATATTTTGTCAAATCTTGCACGTTACGCATTTTTCTAAATCAACATTTTCTGAAGATAACACTTGCTCATCATGATGGTTACTTATTATAGACTGGCCGTTAATGCAACGTTTTTTTAATGTATGCATCTTTTAAGTATGATTTTCAACATGTACTAGACAATAATCATCTAATTGTGCTCGAATGCCCAGCGGCGTTACCAATCAAATTGGAATTTGCATTGAAAATTGATGATTTCGAATGATTAGTAAATGAATGCATATTGGTTTTTGTTGAAATTTGAAAGAAATGATACCGTGTGAAGAATTTGCATACGCCGCCCTCGTGTAGGAAGTCCCAAAATTATATAATTTGCAGCCTCATTTTTTATTTTACTTATATACTTGTATATCACGATAATAATTTACTTTGCATACAATGGTGTCTTGCACACATGCGCTGTGGTAATTTTCTAAACATGCACTTTTATTGTTATTAGAAAAGTTCTCGAGCAAAAGCTTCCTGACATAATTTTCGTGAACAATAGAGAAAAACCCAAAGTCGTCTCCACAAATTTTAATGTATCATCAGGCAGTCAATCCTGCTTCATTAAGGTTGATAAATGTTTCGGCCATTCAAATGGCCATCTTCAGTCAAAAAATATAACAAAGTGTATCTACAATAGAAAACCAAACATGATTTTATATATAAGAAAAATTGAAAATGGAAAAGACAACAGTCGTGACCTTATAGATTGGATTGAAAGACTAAGTATGAAGTCGAAGTTTTCCATTTTTGCTTGTAGTGGTTTCGCTTCGCCCCTTTCTTTTTTCTTTCTGGATATCAATCCAATCTCCATGAGATGAGATAAAATTATGTATCAGTGCTGATTTCATATCGAAATGACCATGGGGTTGGGCATAATTAGTTACAGATTTCGGAACAATCACATTTTTATTCACAGTACCAGCTTCTCTCAATTTTTTCCATGATGGTAAGCTCTACCGAATCGTCCAGAACCAAGTTTAAAATGTGGTCGAAACAGTGGACGTACTCTGCATTTTTGACTTCTCTTCAATTGTGGCTTATTGAATACCGCTGTATTTCCCGCTAATTAGACATATCGTTGACCACGATAATGTTTTGTCTATACCATGGTTGTCTAGAAATGCAATAATTTCATTTGTCAGATAAAGCCCAAAAAGCTTTCGCGAACAGACACTTTTTCGTTAGGTACAATAGTGACGGACGTATAAAAATATAGTCAATTGATCCACTTTATCAAGAATCCAGATGGAAAAATTACGGGGGTTGGTTTCTTTCTTGGTTTCTTTCTTGCACCCCTGGCCAGCTTACGGGAGTGTTAGCTATACTAGCCCTAGACTAATGATACCGTCGAGTTACGACGGTGATGAAGGTAAATGATTTTTTTCAGCGCGCGGCATATCTTTCTTAGCCAATGATCATCACAGTAGTAAAAAACAACGAAACATGAACTTACCCCCTTGAAAAATCTCAGAGGAACTCTCCAACACCCCTTCAAGTCCAGCCAGAAAACACAACAAAAACAGATCCAGCGACGAAAACAATAAATAAATCGGATAAGAATAATGCACTACAGTATTTTGATCTAGGACCGGGTGGTGACACTGTTTACAAGTCAACCAGCTGAACAAAAGACTAGCGCCGAGATCCCGTAGAGCTTTCAGCGCCAACCAAGAGTTGACTGAGAACTGCGACTTTGATGGGCTTTGAGCCACGCCTCGAAAACCTAGGGTGGGGGAAAAACCGCCTCCCAAAACCACATTTATTCACCTACCTTCTTACCATAAATTTGTGGTCAATTTCAAATTAAGTCTACTGTATATACTTTGCATATTATATACCTTTCTGAGAAGTGGCATGTGGTATTTTCAAAGTTCTTTATTTTTTGTGGATCCGGATTTTCGAATGGTAATATTTTTGGCATGCGATGTGTGAATCGACGTTATATGAACATGAATATTCCAAATTAGACAATATGAAGTCTGCAGCTTTCATATCATATGACTATCATTAATGTCTTTGATGATGGGAAATACCTTATTGTAATTTTCCAGTATTAGGGATTCTTGTTATTTTCGAAAGACTTGGAGATTTTCTGGTTCTAATTTTGATGGTTCTGATATGGTCTGAAGATCGGTGAATAATATATAGCTACTTTTTCAAGGACCAGTAAATGATAAGTATGTCCACTTGGTATTAGATTGTGTATAGGTAGTCCCAGAACTCCCACACTGTCTCACAGCAAATCGCTTCAAACATGAAGGTGCAAGATTCAGAGACTCATCAGAGAGTATTTATCGTATAGTCTGATTGCTTGCTTACCTCATGCCTACTTCTTTTGGATACATACTATGTCTATATGATTCCCATATAGAATCACTCAGTGTAGAAAATCTAGGTTATCCTCCTCATCGTCTTCTTATTGTTTATATAAAGCTATCGGTTCAGATTTGACTTTAGAGGTTTGATGGGAGTATAACTACTGCAAGTCATATCAACATGCTATTCTCACCCTGCCCATCTAGCATAGTGTATGGCACTCCAACCCATCATCGTCAGAGAGATTGAATCATAGAATCTAGTTGGCTTGACTCGTGGATTATTTCTAACATCCCCAAATTGGCAAATCGATATGCGATTTCAGTCTATACGCACTATCGGTCGCATTTTGCTTGGTCTCAAAACGAACAAGGCTGAAACGGTCCTAAAATCGAATTATACCTACAATCCTACAAGAAAATGTGAACCAGAATTAACACCGATTCGCTGCAAGAGTTATTCACCATCTCGTACAATGAGTCGGGAATATTTTTACATCTTGCTGGCAGATAGCTATAGAGTCCAACCAATCCTCCAAACCTGCCAACAACTATACAGGCCTTATTGCCCTGTTATCAGTAATATCTAAAGTGATGGAGAAAGCCATCAACGTTGAGCTCATCAAATATCTGGAAAGCTCAGGAATCATCAATGATAGACAATATGTCTTGCGCCACGGCGGAGATCTCTGCTTGCCTACGTCAACCATATCATATGACATCAAGCTTCATTAGAAAAACATGGGGAATCTCTAGCTGTGGCGTTGGAAATATCTGAAGCATTCGACCGTACTTGGCACCAAGGACTCCTTCACAAAATAACATCATACGGCCTACCACCTCATCTTTGCCATCTTCCATCGAGTTATCTTTCGGGCAGATCGCTTCACGTAGTGGTGGACGAAAGTATCGTCTGATACCATTGCCATCAATTCCGCTGAATCCAATGCCACCAAAACTCAAGCCTGTATAAGAGTTTTTGCTCATCATCATCACCTATTATATCAGGCAGTTTTCGTTACTTATTCCAGTTTTTAATTCCTATCGAAAGTCCTGAGCAAATTTTATGTCATATCTGGCTTGACTTAATTTCAGATGGTAACTCTATAGAAGATTTAGTTTCCTTCGTTTTGAAAATGGGAAGAGATCTGATGGAAATATAACCAGTACAATAATAGTATATATATAGAGTCAGATCCAATATTGTAGAAAACATTTCGATTTCATCAATTTGGAGTGCGTGTTTGAGAATAGTTATGTTATGAAATTTTGTCTCAGACTTTGATGGATCCAATCATAGACAGCATATATAGAAAAATACGTATACAGGGTGATTCATCAGGAGACTATAACATATAGCCAAACAGTGAATCAAGACTAGTTGATGTATATATATGGAGAATTTTTTAGACCCTCTAGAATGAAGATACAGGGTATTATGGGAAATTGCCATACATTTGATGATGACCAATATTTCATAAGTTCAATGATTCATCGTAATTGGCTGAAATTTGGCAGCGACGTTCCTCTATTGAAACTATTCAAGATATGGAAAGAAAAATACAGATAGGGGCTTCTGTCAAGAAAATTCACTTTGTGATCACTTTTCTCGAGAAAATTTCATCAGATTCAGAAAGATCAGACAAAAATGCTATATGAACTGCTCTTGAATAATGCATCACGGCACACTTTGACCTGTTTCTACTTCCAACTGGGTTTATATATCTATGTAAATTGACTTTTTATACATTCTTGTTGAATAGAAATTGATAGAAGAGTATAGTTAGTTAGATTATGTGTATATGGATTTTGATTGAAGTAATGATGAAATACCTATATAATGTAGTAAGTATAGGCCCTGTTTTTCATTGTGTTACGTGACGTGACGTTTGTTGATAATTCGAACTGATAGGTATAACAATTGATAAAAATACGGTATGAGGATTATCATGTGTTCATAATAGGTATGGTGATTCATCAAATTAGTTATGCCATCAAGCGTGAACTGAGCTTCATTTTTTGTTATTTATATACACTTCTGCAAGTGATAATATAAGCGATGCATTTACTATCTATTTCTTCAATATTCGTATAATGTTCACCCTCGTGAATGTTTCGCTGCCACGTATTATTGGGTCTGGAAATCTTCTATGGTAGTAAACATTGCAGCACTCGAATTTTCGTCTTGTTCAGCATTAGAAATATGACGTGGAATCTTGAGTGCAAGAATATTTCGATTACCAGTGATCACCTATCAACAAACGCCACGTCACATCATTTAATGAAAACAGTGTCTACTTCATAACAAATTTATGGAATAGAGCCATGACTAATCTAATTTATCTATCTAGAATTTCGATCAAAAACATTTTCAACTCATAATATAATCTCTTCTGTCAATTCCTATCCACATGAATCCAGTTCAAAGTTAAGTATATTATCAGCCAGGTCGATATTGAAAATTCGTTCGAACGTTTCCGTTCCATATATTTTTTCATTGAATCGGTGTATACCGTGCGAATTGAAGAACTGTTCATATGATGATGATGATGGTAATTTGTCTGATCTCTCTGAATCTGATGAAATTTCACCATCAGGAAAGTGATCACAAAGTGAACTTTCTTGACCTAACAATGAAAAATTTATTTTTGGTTTCAATAGAGAAACGTTGCTGTCAAATTTCAGCCAATTACGATGAATAGGATTTTATGATAATTTCACATAATTATCCTGTTTCTTCGTTATATGGATGGCCAAAAAATGTTTCCTTTATATATACATCAACTCGTCTTGATTTCCCCTATTATATTCACCTATTGCTACGTGAGTCTCCTCATGAATTACCCATTATATATGGCAATCGTTTTATATAGTCAATATTATATCGACAAATTGGCAAATGATATTATAAATTTATATTGATATTGTGAGTGTTTAAATTCGAGTTCATATCAATATAACTCGTTTTTATCCATTAGAATCCGATAAAACAGTTTATAGGTATATATTTGACACCTATGAAAACAATGATTGGATTAGAATTCCTATACTTACATAAATATTCAAGAGATATACATATATTACTTCACACATGTTACTGAAGGTGATTTATACATAAATACATATATAACCGACATAATAACTGTCTATAGCAACTTTTTTATTATTATTATCATTCTTATCATCATGGTGGGCAATAATCGCGTCATCATCATCAGACTGTATATTATACTGTACTGGTATAGTCACCATCGATTTGAATGCATATAATAACTAAGTATAGTTTAGTCGAAAACTACTTGCAGACAGGATGAATATTTTTTCATATATCCTTTATACTTACCGATTATAAAACTCGGCTGGAATTCTATCGATTTGACCGTTTTATTTCAAGCATTCGTTTAATTATATTGGTATAACTCGGAGTCTCGAAATGTAAGAACAGAAAAAAAATTGAATTCGTTAAGTATCATAATCTCAGTTTGCACCTTTATCGATGTGAGCTAAGAAGCTTTATACATTGTTTTTTCATTTCTTGGAGCGCATGAAAGGGAATCCCTATAATGTTTGGAGAACATCGTGCGTATATATAGGGTGTTTCATAGGTAAAGGGAAATATTTCAATGGTACATAGGGGTCACCAAGGTGGTTCTGAAAATACCATATTTGATATAGGTCTTAGAGTCTTCATAACGGAGATACAGGGCGATTTATCGATTTCGAATAAATATTCATTCGTCTAAGTATATATGTATTGACCTACCCAGTATATTTTTCTCAAATTTGGTGAGGAGCTTATACTCGAGACGTTAAATTTATTCACCTATCGGGCGGAGTGAAAATCCAGGTTCGGCTTCAGGAAAAATGTACATTTATTCGAAATATTAAAATAACACACTGTATTCAATAATTAACACAGTACATCAAAAGAATTGTGAAGAGGAGGAAAAACTGAATTGTATATGATGCTTTTCGTTTTCCCGACACCAATTCTCATCGTAACAATCATAAACAGGAAGTTGAAAGTATTTCAATTTGAAGAGTATTGGAATTATGAATCCAGTGTCAATTATGATTATTTGATATTTCAGTCAAAAAATTGCTCGAAAGAACTCTAACAGTCTCCATAAGTCTTAAACTACCCAGTAACATTTTCTCAAACTTGGTAGGTATGTAGCTTACTTATGACGATGGATTAATTAACCTATCAGGCGGAATGGAAATAATACCAAATAATTATAATTCGATAATTCACCCTGTATCTCTGTTATAAAGACTATGAGACTTTTCCTGAAGCTGAACCTGTATTTCCATTCTGCCTGATAGGTCAATGAATCCATCGTCCCAAGCAAGCTCAATACCAAATTT